TACTCTTTTTTCGTGTTGGGTTTTAAAAATATAACAATTTCATTTTGAAAATACCAAAATCAAGTGTTTTGACTCTTTGGAATTTGTCTTCCTTCATTTTTATTCACCTGAAACTATTTGCCAGATTTGACGCAAGTTTGCAAACAATTCAGTTTGACCAAAAATGCGGGAGGAATCAACTATTCATGGGGTGGGGTCAGACTCTCTCAGCTCTACTACAGAGCTGATGGGTTAGCTCCACCTGCTGGTGCTGCATTTTGAAACTAGAGTGAAAAGGTTTTTAAAAAAAGAGAGCTTCCATGCTTGGAAGATGAGAAGGAAGAACCCAGTTGTAATGGATCATGGAGCACTAGGTGCCAACTTCAGAGAAGGAAAAATTACAGGTAGGTAAGTATATGTAACCTTTCTTTCTGCCCCCACAAATTTACACTGGTCGGTATTTGTTTTAATCCAGAAAGAGGGACAGAATAATCAATATCATTTTTTTAAATTCATGTTCATTTGGTTAAAAACAACAAACTAAAAGTATTGCTTTAGATGTGGGTTGTTGCAAGTTTCCCCCCTTTCAGGCACTAATTATAATTAAAGTCCCCCTTTTGAGTGACTATTAAGATTAAAATATAATCCAAATGTTCTTTGTGTTCTGTAATCCTCACATCCTCTCCCCTCAACCACATGTTCAGAGACAAAATGAATGTGCTGAACCATGTTGTATACATGCAGATGAAGTAGCCCTCAAAGACTTGTAGTTTTCTATGTGATCTTCCATTGGTTGGTTTACTGATAGTGACATGGTGAGTTGTGATTAATCAGATTCTGAGCACTCTTCTTGAATTCACTGGGAAAGACAAAAGAGAGGAAATGTGAAAGTGCCCACAGTGCTTGCTTGCAGTTCACTGCCTATCTAAATTACACCAGATTGCTAAAATCTATGGATCTCATCCCTATTTTATCACTCATCCGGCAATGAAAAGAAATGCAACAGAAAAAGCCACATTCATGATTCAAATGACACTTAATAGACAAATGTTAAGTTAGGGTGGAAAAAACATTCAGTTTCTGGTCCAATTTGATTAGAGTTAATTAGGGCTGTTGATTAATCGCATTTAACTCATGTGATTAACTGAAAAAAAAATTAATCACGATAAAAAAATTACGGTAATCATGATTAATCGCAGTTTTAATCACATTGTTAAACAATAGAATACCAATTGAAATTTATTAAATATTTTTGGATTTTTTCTACATTTTCAAGTATATTGATTTCAATTACAACACAGAATACAAAGTGTACACTGCTCACTGTGTATTATTATTTTTTATTACAAATATTTGCACTGTAAAAATGATAAAAGAAACAGTATTTTTCAGTTAACCTTTTACAAGTATTGTAGTGCAATCTCTTTATTGTGAAAGTGCAATTTACCAAGGTAGGGTTTTTTTGTTACATAGCTGCACTCAAAAAAAAAAAAAAAATCCAATGGGAGAATTGTATGTCGCCTACTCTGTTTTACCCGCATTCTGCCATATATTTCATGTTCTAGCAGTCTCGGATGATGACCTTGCACATGTTGTTCATTTTAAGAACACTTTCACTGCAGATTTGACAAACCGCAAAGAAGGTACCAATGTGAGATTTCTAAAAATAGCTACAGCACTCGACCCAAGGTTTGAGAATCTGAACTGCCTTCCAAAATCTGAGAGGGACGAGGTGTGGAGCATGCTTTCAGATGTCTTAAAAGAACAACACTCTGCTGTGGAAACTATAGAACCCGAACCACCAAAAAAGAAAATCTACTTTCTGCTGGTGGCATCTGGCTCAGATAATGAAAATGAACATGCATCGGTCCTCACTGCTTTGGATTGTTATCGATCAGAATCCATCATCAGCATGGATACATGTCCTCTGGAATGGTGGTTGAAGCATGAAGGGACATATGAATCTTTAGTGTATCTGGCATGTAAATATCTTGCGACGCCGGCTACAACAGTGCCATAAGAACACCTGTTCTCATTTTCAGGTGATGTGAACAAGAAGTGGGCAGGATTATCTCCTGCAAATGTAAACAAACTTGTTTGTCTGAGTGATTGGCTGAAAAAGAAGTAGGACTGATTGGACTTTGTAGGCTCTAAAGTTTTACATTGTTTTATTTTTGAATGCAGTTATTTTTTGTGCATAATTCTACATGTGTACATTCAGCTTTCATGATAAAGAGATTGCAGTACGGTACTTGTATTAGGTGAATTGAAAAATACTATTTCTTTTGTTTTTTACAGTGCAAATATTTGTAATCAAAAATATATATAGAGTGAGCACTGTACGCTTTGTGTTCTGTGATGTAATCGAAATAAATGTATTTGAAAATGTAGAAAACATCAAAAAATATTTAAATAAATGGTATTCTATTATTGTTTAACAATGCAATTAATTGTACGATTAATTTTTTTAATTGCACAATTAATCACAATTAAATTTTGTATCGCTTAACAGCCCTAGAGTTAATTTATCCATACTAATAGCACTATGCTAGATGCTGAAGATGGACTTTACTACTCTTAGAGATGATGATGGTATTTTTGCTTTGTGCTAATACAAAACAACAAAAGTAGCTGTCCTTTGATTCTCTGTACTCATCCTTTCTTTTTTCATTGAATAAATGTGTCCAATACCCAAACAAATAGTGGATAAATAAGTCTAAGTCCAGATCCTGCAATGAGTTCTGTGCAGACAGATGAATGCCGATGCTGAGCCATTTTGAAGCCAGTTGTAGTCTGTGTGGGTGCTGGATTTTGTCCGCATGGACTTCATTGCAGGATTGAGACCTTAATTAACAAGTACAACACTTCCAGCTAAGACATTTTCCTATGTTATTGGCCTGAACAGTGTAGACTAGATCAGAGTGTTAAAAAGAAGCCATTACAAAACCATATTTGAGCCTGGTTGGAACTAACTTTTGAAAATGGTTTCAAAACAGTTTGGTCCAGTCAATGCTGGCCAGTCAACCCACGTCTAAAACTTGTTTAGTTGGAATAGTGTTTAAATAAAGTTCAATCTCTGTTCATGGACCAGTACAGACAAGGCCTATATGATGCAGGTGAGGGAGTTACTACCATATTTTGTATCTTTTTATGTGTAGGTTACTGGGATACTATCCAAGTTTAGGTCAATCATGACCATCTTGACAGCCTTTCAATTGTGTATGTAAAATAAAACTCTGGTCTTGGTACAATATTTGGTACCGCTATCCATTTCACAAAAACCACCGTCAAAAAGCTAATGAACTAATTTTTCTCCCTTAGAGGCAGTCCCTCCACAGTTGAAGCACCTTGTTATGGCAGCATGTAGTAAGCTTGCACTTGAGTAGTATTGTAACTGTTCTTTGACTAAACAGCAGTTTATATTGCTATTTAGCTAAAAAACCCATATTCCAAAGCTGTTTAATCACATGCCATTCACAAGCATTAAGCAATTAAAAATACCTGGGGGGAAAAGTGTCTGGACTTAATAATTATTTTAAAATGTTCTCCTATTAGGTAGTACTGTATGATATGGACGCTTTAAATTGTTCATCTAATACTCCTACCATAAAATTCTGTCCCTATTGAAACCAGTGGGAATTTTGCCATTGGCATCACTGAGCCAGGTTTTTACCCCATTTACTAATAAGAGTCTTCGGAATTCATAGCACTGTGCTTTACTACCCTCTGTAAAAGTCTGAGAGGCGTTCCCAGTAGACTAAAATAAAGACCATTTTATCTGAGCAATTTCACAAATCCTGAGGGACATTATTTAGTGACAGCATGATATAACCTGTATTTTTCAACAGTTCAAATCATGTCAACTCAGCCTACTGTGAATACACAGAGAAAGATGAATAAGCTTATACAGTGGGTTCATATTTTATGTAACTTCTATCAAACATTTTTACCAAACTATCTATCTTAGTTGTTTAAACAGGTCTAATCTATCTCTTGCTGAGCTGCCTTCAGTGCATTATAATTCTTGCAGTGATTAAAGATTAAACAGAATATATTTTCAGAGGAAGTAATATAGAGCATACCACTCTGCTCTTTAATGGAAGCTGATTTCTACTCCTGTCACAAACGGATGGAATACATTTTTTTTCTTTCATAGCACAATTATTTAAGGAGGGATCTCTGCAGAATTTGCCCTCATGCCTTACAGGAAACTTTTTCAAAACAAAGATAAAGTAGGCTTCAAAAACTGATAATGGGATGCCCTCTTTCCAACATAAATTAGGGGGGAATGGCTAATTTGGTTTTTTTGAAGGCTCCCCTTTTAAGCAGAGATTTACAAATAGAGGATTGACTGTGCCTTTTAATTGTAAACATTCAGAGTTGTTTTACATTAGTAGTCTTTTCCTTTCTGGTCACAAATTCTGACAAACTTTATGAAATGACTGCAGGTGCTATTTTTCTAAAGCAAAAGATTACATCAGCTGGGGAACTAGCAGTTACTTGTGCACACTTGCACACTCAACACTGTGCTTCATTTTAACAGCTTTCGTAGTAATAGACTTAACAGTCCTTGCTAAAATCAGTGGTTTTATTTTCAGATTGACACAAAGTGCTAATATGGGATTCTGCTGGATACTTCTATACATGTCATGGCATTTGAAAACTCACACGCAATCTTCTTTTGTATAAAGTATATGGAAGGATGTGCTTTTTGTCCTCCATTATCATTTTCCTACAATTTGTTCTACATCAATCTTTTTTCTAATTTTCCTTCCATGTTATAGGTGAAAATCAATCTTCCACTTTTAGGAGAGTATGTTCAGAAACAATCCCTTAGAAGAAAGTTTCTCATCCATCTAAAATCTAACTGGAGTTCTTCCAGTATGGAAGTCTTCAGGGTCTACTCCTCTAGTGTATTGAGCACCTCAGTATTGATCTATTGCATGTGTTCACTTAGTTGTCACCTGAACCTGTAGTAAACCTATTGAGAGCATATGCTCAATAAACGTAATATGCTTTAGTGCCCCTTAGTGATGAAGAGGAGGGAGGCATTCTCTTTGAGAACATCGCCAAGTCTGCCCTTGATCCCTTTGACACATCTTCTGGATCTGTACAGCTGATTGCTATCAAACCTGTAGCATTGCCTCCCGCTCACCCTGCATCAGACAGGAGCCAGGAATCTGCTATCATTAATGGAGAGGTAAGAGTAATCAGACAGTGTTTCACCTGCTGGTTTCTTGATTATATGTGGAGACACATATCTGTGATAGGACCTTAGCTTGGTGCATTGAAGAGAGAGAGGAGAAATGTTAGAAGCCTTTCACCCTTTGTGTGGCCTATGTAAAATCCTGTCACAAATGCCGTCTCTGTGCTCAGGACCCACTCTTTCCTAACATACCTGTAGATGCATGGTGCTCTGAAGGAGGCAACCTATCTAGGTACTTTTATAGCCCTCATCCCTGTTGTATTTGAACACCTGACAATCATTAAGGGATTTTATCTTCCCAGCACCCCATTTTAGAAAATAGGGAACTGAGGCAAAGGGTAGATTTAGGCTTGGTCCACACTGGGGCGGGGGATCGATCTAGGAAACGCAACTTCAGCTACGAGAATAGCATAGCTGAAGTCGACGTTTCCTAGATCGAACTAAGTTTACTTACTGCGGGTCCACGCGGCGCAGGCAAGCTCCCCCGTCGACAGCGCTTCCTCCTCTCGGCGAGCAGGAGTTCCGCAGTTGACGAGGGAGCGCTTCTGGGATCGATTTATCGCGTCCAAATGAGACGCGATAAATCGATCCCAGAAGATCGATCTCTCCCCGCCGAATCAGGCGGATAGTGTGGACCTAGCCTAAGACATACTTTTTCAGGTTCACACAGGAAGTTCGAGTCTGAGCTGGGAGTTGAACCTAGATCTCAGAAGTCCCATCTTAGTGCCCTGTTGCTAACTAGACTATCCTTCCTGCTCACAGTGGGATGGGGAGAAAGCAGGTCCATGCCTTTGCTCTGTTTGTGTGCTGGCTTGCACATTAGGCACAACTGCTCCCGAGGTCCCCATAGAATGATGTGGGTCTGCACTGGGATCTAATGGGGCCATTGACCAAATGCCGCATCTTGGCTCTGAGACTTACCCGGTATATTATTTTACAAATATTTTTATTTAGATTTTGTTCTAGAACAAAGTGCTTTATAAGGGGAATGGGGGAATTTATATACCGAATGTGGAGGGAAGGCTTCTTATTTGCTCCTCCATGCTGCACACTTATGCAAAGGCTAACCAGGATATTGCCCTGGACTCTTTATTGGACAAAATCAACACTTTAAACTGCTAGCCAGTTAGAAACACGGTAAAAGACAGCGTAGTCAAGCTACCCGTGTGAGACCAGATTAGGGCATTATATCATGTTCTGGTTTTGTGCTTGTATTTTAAGCCCTAACGTGTCACAATTGTCACTTTATATCCAGAGTCATGGCATGCACAGTATTCAATGCCTATTTTTCTTCCAAGAACTGTGGGTTGTGTATCATCAGAGTAAGACCTAGGAACAAATGCTATTTCCTTACATACTCACAGATATGATGGAGTTCTTAAGGAGATCATAGAAGTTGACTTTTTAGCTACAAACCGTATATAAAGTAGACATTTTTTTACACAGTCAACTTTGGGGCAGAAGTGAAATTTGTTCAAATATACAGAATACTGCCCCCAGGCCTCCCTAAAAATAAACATTGTTTGGGTCAAGAAGATGGTTGGCTGACATCAGCTCTCTTCTTCTGTGGCTGTGAATTGAGTCACTATTATGATGTACTTAGTTCCAGGGGACTAAAATGTATTTATTCATCTGCAAGTCATACAAAATACAATGACTCTGTCACTTGCACTTCCCTGGTGCTGACAGATGGCATGGTGCGGTGCAAGAGGCACTCTGCAAAGCAAAGCGCTGCACATCAAATACACTTTTAAAATGTAATTGAGAAATCGTCAGCATGGCACAGTCATCTGAAATTCACTCACCTTCCATTAGGTAAACAAAGCCTTGAAGCAGAAGTCCGATATAGAGCACTATCGCAACAAGCTGCGCTTGAAAGCCAAGAGAAAAGGATACTATGATTTCCCCCAGATTGACAACAACAAAGGGCTGACAGAAAGAAAAAAGATATATGAGAAAGCACAAAAGGAAATAGACTATGTTTTGGAACCAGAGGCAGATGTGTCTTCTCCATTTGCAGAGCCTAAGAACAGGTGAGATGTTTTTGTTTTTTATATACATCTAGAAAATAGGTATTCCCCCAGGGCTGAAGGGCAGAAGACTCATCTGAAGTGCAAACATCCATCACTGATGATGAAAATGTGTATTACATACTAATGTTTAATCTGTTCAGTGCTTCCTATTTCATGAAGAAAATTGATGTTGCCTAAGATTATTTCTGAATGTTTCACATTTAGTAAAACCATAACATGGTTACAGAAGAATAAGTGGAAAGAGAACAAAATTACTTGAAGGCTGCATGGTTCCAGGTCTTTTGTGAGCCATTTTTAAAGTGATCCAAGCTGAAAATGTGCTAAGGTTATTATTCAAAAGACTGATTATTCTAGAAATGGACGTGAGCCAGAAATTTGCATTTGACTCCGATCTTCTGCAAAGTGCAGGAGTGATCCAATCTATCATTTTGTTCTAGGCACACCTGTAATTATTTCCAGAGCTGAATCTAAGATACAGGTAACTTAGACCCAGCAAATTAGAACATGTCACCATTATGTCTGTTGATTTCAGTATCTCCTTCAGCAGTTAATGGTGACCACTTTCTACGGTGCTTTCTTCACTTCATTGCTCTGTGATCTTGGGTAGGTCATTTAATCTTTGACATAATTTACTCATCTCTAAAATGAGTAAGGATATTGTGAGACATCATCAATATTTGTGTGGCACTTTATGGCCCTTGGAGGCAATATGTAAATGGGGAGCGTTCTTTCTTGGACACAGAGATGTACTAGTGGAGGAGAGTGCAAAGAGCCCCATCTATACGCATTGCACAGCGGCTGGCCATACTTGCAGGCTCTGGTCTGCACTAAGTTCCCCCATTAGTGTCCCTGGAGCACAAGTTGCCTTACAAAGCGAGGAGGTCATGCCAAGCCCACCCCTCACCAACTAGTAGAGCCGGCCTTGTTGGGAGTGGCAGCACAGTCGGCATGCTCCCGCATTGCACAGGTGAGAGAGATTGTAGCAAGGATTCTAAAAGAGCTTGTCTTGGAATATAAGCAATAGCTGTAGACAAATGAGCTTGTTTATGTGAGGGCCCTGAGACAGTGGGAAGTGAAGTTTGAGAACCCTTGTCCCAGGGGTTTACTGGGAGGTCAATGAAGAAAAAAGATTCTGATTAAATTGTAACTAGTGTCCTTGCTGAAGGGTCTGGGGCATCAGTTCCTTGAACAGGAATTCAGTGAGGGAGGAATACATTGTTACATATGCATAGAAAAGGTAAGATATTGAATGTGAATATTAGCATTTTACAGTAATCCTATTTTTATTAGCACAATCTGTCCTGAGAATATAAATGAGGCCTGTAGAAACATGAATATTAATGTGAACAATACAAACAATGCAGTACTGAAGCCATATTTTGGATATTTATGATGTACCTTAAGTGGTGTGGGGAAACGTTTAGAACATTATATATGAAGCTTTAATATTAACCATCTGCTCTTTGCTGACAGATCCTGGAATATTTTTGTTTTTCTAAGTATGCTTTCTAATGAATTGTGTAAACCAATGGGTAAGCTATTTTAGACAAAGTTCATTGTTACGAAAAACTGCATCAAGGCAAGTACTCTGAACTGTCAAGGAATGATCTCTCTGCCTTCTGGGGCTGAGCCATTAAATGTTAATTGTACAAACACTAGAGATACTTGCTGAGTAGAGCTGGGCTATGGGAACTAAAACCAAAGGGATCATTCCCTGATGCACTTTCTGTAAAGATGTCAGGCATTTTCAAAATTTGGGAATTTTTGTTGCCTGTCAGAAAAACTTACTGTTTCTTGCAAACAACCAGTTTTATGGTCCCCACACCAACATCTAGAATGACAGATTTGCTGTAGATACCTAACTTGATATGCTGCAGGACATTTTCCAGCTTCAGGCATTTTTTTTAACAGAATATAAGATAGCCAAAGTGACACATTATTGGATGAATACAGTAACGTGATATTGCAACGTAGTGCAACTCTCTGAGAGATGAACTGATATAATAGAATTTTTATAATAAAAACAATCACTCTTACAGCAGTCTAGTTTAGCATAAGACTAATACAGCTTGCTTTGTATCATTGTCCAGATATTGATATGCAATTAAAAACCTATATCTTAAAACAGTTCACATTTTTAAAGATAAGATACTGTAGAAGTAGGTAAAAGAATAAAGATTTTAGAGTTCCTGGAAAAAATGGCATGTTTCCCTCTTGTTCCACTGGTATAGCTACCATTAATATTAATTGTATGTATGTCACTTCCAAAATGTTATGGGAGGAAAAAATAAATTAAATGCATTCTTCAGGCTGACCTTTATATATTCAGATTTGTGGAAAACAGCATTTTAAAAATTGTTTACAAAACACCATCACTAAATAATTTGGTTTGTACAAGAACCAACACCCCATGCTTTCAGTTGCTTTGAGCATTCTGTGCATCTAATTCATGCTTCAAAATGCTGCAGTTGTGTTCCCAGAAGACACACACCATGTGATTGCCAGTTGTTAATGTTGATACCTCCCTTCTCATTAGTGAATCTTCCTTAAATCAGCTAATTGGCAATCTCAGGGCAATTTTTAAAAACCTTGCTGATCGCATGCATGGTTCTCAGTTTTTCCCTGCGTGGTTTGTAATCAGGTCAAGGGTGTGCATTTATTAGAGCACTAAATGTGTGAATTTTTTAGAAAATGTGTCCCTAACTATATAAGCAGGAGGAAATATCTGTTGTCCTTCTGAAAGAAACACATGTAATTCTAAATGCCTTTAATTTAGGAACATAAGAATTGCCATATTAGATCAGATCCATGGTCCATCTGGTCCCATATCCTGTCTCTGGCCGCGGCCAGCACCAGAGCCTTCAGAAGAAGGTGGATAAACCCCCATAATAAACAACTGTCTAATAATATCTCTATTGGGAAAGTTTTTTCCTAATCCACTCTTGAGCCCTGATTCAGCAAGGGACTTGGAATTTTCAGAAGTGCCTGAGCAATTTAAGAGCACAAGTGACTTTCAGTGGGACTTGTGCTCCTAAATCCCTTAGGCACTTCTGAAAATTCCAAGAGCTTTGCGGAATCAGGACTCAACAGTGGGTTAGGAAGAAACTTCTCCTAAATCATAGGTGCATTTGAAAATCCCACTCTTACACTGAAGCATGTGTTTCAGCTCTTTGTTGAATCAGGGCCTTAGGCTTCATGGTTAATATACTTTAAATATTTTATCCTAGCTAGTGTAACTGGGTGATAGTCTTACTACTCAGGCAAATGTCCAGTGCTTTTTGAATTCTCCTAATCTATTTGATTCAAGTATACATTGTGGTGGTAAGTTCTATGGACTAATTCCTCATCGTGTAAATGAGTGTTTCCTTTTATCAAGTATGTCCTTTAAATGTGTTGTCTCTTAGTTTCATTGACTGTCCCCTTGTTCTTGTAGCATATAAAAGGGTAAATAGCAGTACTTGATTGGACTCTGTGCCACTCTCTATTTCACATCTCTCTCCTGTGTGGCTCTATCCGAAGTAGTTCTGATCTTTTCAATCTCTCTAATATTGAAGTCTTTCCATGCCTCTAATTTTTGTTGATTTTTTCATATATGGCTATTTTCAAGTCAAGACAGTTACTTTTAAGACAAAACGTTTAAGGTCATTCATGGTTTATCTTTACCGTACTAAAAACTGTTGTCTGCCATAAAGCCCTCAGCTCCATCTATGATGCCAGCCTTTTTTGCCCTTTAGTCAAATCTCACCACAAAAACCTTCACACTTTCTACCATGCCGTCCCTTATTTATTGGGAGGAGATCCCCAGTAACCAATCATTCCAGTAACCTCCTTCAGATCTGTGAAAACTCACGTCTCCTCTGATGCCCTCGAAACACTTGACAATGGCTAGGCAGCTGGAGTGCTTTAACTGCTGCTTATTACATTTATAATTGTGTCTGTCTCTCTCTCTCTCACTGGATGGGATGGGCCAGGGTTCTGAGGTGGGACTGAGCATTCTCTCTCTTTCTCAGGTGCGTGGCTGGCTAGTTCCTGCTCATGTGCTCAAAGTCTAACTGATTGTCATACGGGTCAGGAAGAACTTCCCCCCAGGTCTGATTGGCAGTGACCTTGGGGTTTTTTCACCTTCCTCTACGGTGTGTGGGAGTGGGTCATTTGATGAGATTATCTGAATATATCTCAATCAGTTCCCTACCATTGCAGGGGCCTCAGGCATTGTTGCACCTTGGTCCCTCCTGTTCTCTCCCTGTGGCAAATAATAATTTAGGCTCCTGTGGGCTGTAATCATAGAATCATAGAATCATAGAATATCAGGGTTGGAAGGGACCTCAGGAGGTCATCTAGTCCAGCCCCCTGCTCAAAGCAGAACCAATTCCCAACTAAATCATCCCAGCCAGGGCTTTGTCAAGCCTGACCTTAAAAACCTCTCAGGAAGGAGATTCCACCACCTCCCTAGGTAACCCATTCCAGTGCTTCACCACCCTCCTAGTGAAAAAGTTTTTCCTAATATCCAACCTAAACCTCCCCCACTGCAACTTGAGAGCATTACTCCTTGTTCTGTCTTCTGGTACCACTGAGAACAGTCTAGATCCATCCTCTTTGGAACCCCCTTTCAGGTAGTTGAAAGCAGCTATCAAATCCCCCCTCATTCTTCTCTTCTGCAGACTAAACAAGCCCAGTTCCCTCAGCCTCTCCTCATAAGTCATGTGCTCCACCACCCTAATCATTTTTGTTGCCCTCCGCTGGACTCTTTCCAATTTTTCCACATCCTTCTTGTAGTGTGGGGCCCAAAACTGGACACAGTACTCCAGATGAGGCCTCACCAATGTCGAATAGAGGAGAATGATCACATCCCTCGATCTGCTGGCAATGCCCCTACTTATACAGCCCAAAATGCCGTTAGCCTTCTTGCCAACAAGGGCACACTGTTGACTCATATCCAGCTTCTCGTCCACTGTAATCCCTAGGTCCTTTTCTGCAGAACTGCTTCCTAGCCATTCGGTCCCTAGTCTGTAACAGTGAATGGGATTCTTCCGTCCTAAGTGCAGGACTCTGCACTTGTCTTTGTTGAACCTCATCAGGTTTCTTTTGGCCCAATCCACTAATTTGTCTAGGTCCCTCTGTATCCTATCCCTACCCTCCAGCATATCTACCACTCCTCCCAGTTTAGTGTCATCTGCAAACTTGCTGAGAGTGCAGTCCACGCCATCCTCCAGATCATTAATGAAGATATTGAACAAAACCAGCCCCAGGACCGACCCTTGGGGCACTCCGCTTGAAACCAGCTGCCAACTAGACATGGAGCCATTGATCACTACCCGTTGAGCCCGACGATCTAGCCAGCTTTCTATCCACCTTATAGTCCATTCATCCAGCCCATACTTCTTTAACTTGCTGTCAAGAATACCATGGGAGACCGTATCAAAAGCTTTGCTAAAGTCAAGGAATAACACATCCACTGCTTTCCCCTCATCTACAGACCCAGTTATCTCCTCATAGAAGGCAATTAGGTTAGTCAGGCATGACTTGCCCTTGGTGAATCCATGCTGACTGTTCCTGATCACTTTCCTCTCCTCTAAGTGCTTCAGAATTGATTCCTTGAGGACCTGCTCCATGGTTTTTCCAGGGACTGAGGTGAGGTTGACTGGTCTGTAATTCCCCGGATCCTCCTTCTTCCCCTTTTTAAAGATGGGCACTACATTAGCCTTTTCCCAGTCATCCGGGACCTCCCCCGATCGCCATGAGTTTTCAAAGATAATGGCCAATGGCTCTGCAATCACATCCGCCAACTCCTTTAGCACCCTCGGATGCAGCGCATCCGGCCCCATGGACTTGTGCTCATCCAGTTTTTCTAAATAGTCCTGAACCACTTCTTTCTCCACAGAGGGCTGGTCACCTCCTCCCCATACTGTGCTGCCCAGTGCAGCAGTCTGGGAGCTGACCTTGTTTGTGAAGATAGAGGCAAAAAAAGCATTGAGTACATTAGCTTTTTCCACATCCTCTGTCACTAGGTTGCCTCCCTCATTCATTAAGGGGCCCACACTTTCCTTGACTTTCTTCTTGTTGTTAACATACCTGAAGAAACCCTTCTTGATACTCTTAACATCTCTTGCTAGCTGCAACTCCAAGTGTGATTTGGCCTTCCTGATTTCACTCCTGCATGCCTGAGCAATATATTTATACTCCTCCCTGGTCATTTGTCCAATCTTCCACTTCTTGTAAGCTTCTTTTTTGCGTTTAAGGTCAGCAAGGATTTCACTGTTAAGCCAAGCTGGTCACCTGCCATATTTACTATTCTTTCTACACATTGGGATGTTTTTTTCCTGCAACCTCAATAAGGATTCTTTAAAATACAGCCAGCTCTCTTGGACTCCTTTCCCCCTCATGTTATTCTCCCAGGGGATCCTGCCCATCAGTTCCCTGAGGGAGTCAAAGTCTGCTTTTCTGAAGTCCAGGGTCGGTATTCTGCTGCTCTGCTTTCTTCCTTGTGTCAGGATCCTGAACTCGACCATCTCATGGTCACTGCCTCCCAGGTTCCCATCCACTTTGCTTGCCCTACTAATTCTTCCTGGTTTGTGAGCAGCAGGTCAAGAAGAGATCTGCCCCTAGTTGGTTCCTCCAGCACCAGGAAATTGTCCCCTACATTTTCCAAAAACTTCCTGGATTGTCTGTGCATCGCTGTATTGCTCTCCCAGCAGATATCAGGGTGATTAAAGTCTCCCATGAGAACCAGGGCCTGCGATCTAGTAACTTCTGCTAGTTGCCGGAAGAAAGCCTCGCCCACCTCATCCCCCTGGTCTGGCGGTCTATAGCAGACTCCCGCCACGACATCCTCCTTGTTGCTCACACTTCTAAACTTAATCCAGAGACTCTCAGGTTTTTCTGCAGTTTCATACCGGAGCTCTGAGCAGTCATACTCCTCTCTTACATACAATGCAACTCCCCCACCTTTTCTGCCCTGTCCTTCCTGAACAGTTTATATCCATCCATGACAGTACTCCAGTCATGTGAGTTATCCCACCAAGTCTCTGTTATTCCAATCACATCATAGTTCCTTGACTGTGCCAGGACTTCCAGTACTCCCTGCTTGTTTCCCAGGCTTCTTGCATTTGTGTATAGGCACTTAAGATAACTCGCTGATTGTCCTGCTTTCTCAGTCTGAGACAGGAGTCCTCCCCTCTTGCACTCTCCTGCTCGTGCTTCTTCCCGGTATCCCACTTTCCCACTTACCTCAGGGCTTTGGTCTCCTTCCCCCGGTGAACTTAGTTTAAAGCCCTCCTCACTAGGTTAGCCAGCCTGCTTGTGAAGATGCTCTTCCCTCTCTTCGTTAGGTGGAGCCCGTCTCTGCCTAGCACTCCTCCTCCTTGGAACACCATCCCATGGTCGAAGAATCCAAAGCCTTCTCTCCGACACCACCTGCGTAGCCATTCGTTGACTTCCACAATTCGACGGTCTCTACCCAGGCCTTTTCCCTGCACAGGGAGGATGGACGAGAACACCACTTGTGCCTCAAACTCCTTTATCCTTCTTCCCAGAGCCACTTAGTCTGCAGTGATCCACTCAAGGTCATTCTTGGCAGTATCATTGGTGCCCACGTGGAGAAGCAGGAAGGGGTAGCGATCTGAGGGCTTGATGAGTCTCGGCAGTCTCTCCGTCACATCGTGAATCCTAGCTCCTGGCAAGCAGCAGACTTCTCGGTCGGGGTGGCAGATAGATGACTCAGTCCCCCTGAGGAGGGAGTCCCCGACCACCACCCCCTGCCTCCTTTTCTTGGAAGCGGTGGCCGTGGAACCCCCATCCCTAGGACAGTGCATCTCATGCCTTCCAATCGGAGGAGTCTCCTTCTGCTCCCTTCTCTCAGATGTATCATCTACTCCACTGTCCGCATTAGTACCTGTGGAGAGAACATGAAAACGGTTGCTCACCTGTATCTCCATTGCTGGTACATGGATGCTCCTCTTTCTTCTTCTGGAGGTCACATGCTGCCAAATTTCTGCACCGTCCCTCAGTACCCTCTGCGCAGCCTGCTCTGATTCTTCAGAACGTTGTGCCCGTAGAAGCATATCCTGACGTCTGTCCAGGAAATCTTCATTTTCTCGTATGCAACGCAGGGTCGATACTTGTTTCTCCAGACCTCGAACCTTCTCTTCCAATATGGAGACCAGCTTGCACTTTGTACAGACAAAGTCGCTTCTGTCCAGTGGAAGAAAGACAAACATGGCACAACCTGTGCAGGTTACAACAACTGAATGCTCACCTTCCATAATTTCTTCCTTCTAAGAGCTTCCTCAGCTGTTGCAGCAACTCACAGAAGCCCGCAAGATAAAAGCCTCAGTGGGCTCTCCCTAGGCGAACTCCCAGGCAAACTCCCTCTGTTAGCCTCCGCTGTTCGCCGCTCAGCTGCTTCGCTGCTGACTGCCTTTTTATAACAGTCAGGCCTACTCAAGGCCCACCTGGAACAAAGCACTCCCAATTCACACTTTTCAAACAAACAATCAAGCACATGGTCAAATTGACAAACTGTCCCCGCAACAGACACTCAGATACTCACCAACACAGCTCCCCTAATGCAGCACTTAGCATACCTCCTCTTGGACAGATCCCAGACAAACTCCCTCTATTGGTCTAGTGTCAGTTGTTGGGTTAAGTGTGTGGGTGCTGGATGATGTTGGTGGCCTGTGATATACAGAAGGTCAGACTAGATGATCTGGGGGTTACTTCTGCCCTAAACTCTGTGATTACACAATAGTTTGTGTACTTGGTTATCCATTGTCTGAGGGCAGGGAGCTTTGCACTATACTGATCCTGGGGTTGGCTTGGTCCCCAGTGCAACTTGGAGCAGCCTCATATCATAATAGCACCTAAGGGACTGACCCAGTCAGGGATCAGTTTGAGTGCGGAGCCCCCTGCTCTCTCCAGCCTGAGGGGTTGAGAATGGGGTGGTGTAAAGCGGATGTAGCTACCCAGTTAGACCACAGAAGTTGCAGAAAAAGCTGCTTAAACTTCATCTCTTCCCATCTATGCCTGGTGGGCTGGGAGCAGGTGACATAGAAGTGGTGCATGGGCTTTCCTCCACATATAGATTCCTCTACTCAGGGAAATCCTCAAGATGTCCTGCTAGTGCAGCAAGCATCTGGAAAGGGAGGAAGGGCTGAGGATCAGGCCCAATGATAATTCACTTCTCTTGAGTTCTAATCCTGGTTTTGCTGATGGTATTCTTTGTTCCTAAATTACTTGCCCACAGTCACAGTTTTCAAATGTAGGTGTTTAAAGCTAAGCACCTAAACCCATACTTGGGCATCTAAATAAAATGATTTTCAAAGTTTCTCAGCACCTGCAGCACCCATTGAACTGACAAACTGTTAGTTACAAGTAATTATTTTAAATCCTATCAGCTATAAACCACAAAGGATCCTGGTATTCACTTGGAGCTTAGCTCCTCTGGGCAGCTCCAGTTTATGGTTCCTGTGCCCTTTAGCCCTTTGCTGTGGTGTTTTAATAACAGAAAACAAAATATATAATGATCTCTTCTGTAATTTTGCCTTCTTCCAGCACTTGTGTGTATAGAAAGGGTATCCTATTAAAGTGGCTCTTTTGTAATAACTAAGATAATGTTAGAATAAAGGTTATAATTGCAGAATACTGTCTGTCATTTATTTTTGTGCTTTGCCTTCATTTTAATATTTTCTCATTGGATTTTCTCCAGGCAGCAGACAAAGAACTCTGTGTACAGAAGCAGACAGTCTCTGAACAGCCCTAGCCCAGGAGAAACCGAGATGGATCTTCTAGTTACCCGGGAGAGACCAAGGCGTGGGATCCGCAACAGTGGATATGATGTAAGTTTATCAGATGCATTCAGTGAAGTTTGCTCAGTAAATCCTTAATTCAGTCTTTAAAAAAAGGAAAGAAAAGAGAAAAAGCATAGGGTAAGCTAACCAGAGTGCATTTATGAGTTTAACCTTAAGGTACATTATATCTCTTCAGTGTCCCAAATTACTGAAAGCAAATGCAGAACATTTAATGTACTTTCTAACTGCAGCTTGTTTTGCAGTGTAAAGATAGTTTTGCAGTGTAAGAATAGTTAACAAAACTTCCTCCTTGAAAATCAGTACTAAATTAAAGCATTGATTTCTAAATCTTATTTTATTTTAATAATTGCACTGAGTATACAACCATTTATAACCTACTGGCAATTTTATTTTTTCCCCATTGTTTCTTTGCCTAAAATTAGGATTCAGATCCTCAACCCTGCTCCACAACCTGGGTGGTGCAAAAGAGATGGAAAACTGGGTTACAAAGCCACTGAGGGATTCCACTTGGGTAAAGGAATCCCCAGCTGGTACAAAGCCAATGTAGTCAGATCTTGACTACATTCTTGTTTCAGGGGCAAGAGGCTACATATTCAGAGCAAGTTGTGCTCCATTAATCCTGGACTGGTGAATGGCCCCAAAAGACTATTTTAGCCATCATTACTTGCATTAAGTATAGCCTCTATGCTGTCCTCACATATGCTGAGGCCAAACAAACCCTGCAGGCCTCCTGAATGAAGGAAGCAAAAGAGTAAAACAGTGTCATCTTGCAATATTTGCAACCTCATCTCAAATCCTGCAGCTCAGCCATACCAGAGGATCTGGTCCTAGAGATGAAGTAAAAGATTTGGCAAAATAAGGGAGTGCTTCTGGGTATGGGGTATCCTTTAACCTCTGGAGAGACTGACATTTTGCATGGGACTAAATAATTAACTCCAACTGTCAAGCACTGGTTTTTAGATAAGTGAAGGAATTTGGCAATGTGAGGGAATATGTTCAGGAAAATCTAAACCAGGGTGAATTGATTTAAATCAGTAATTTAAATCACCAATTTTAATAATAATTTAAATCATCAAGACAGAAACCTTGATTTAAATAATCATTTAAATCTTGTTTTGTATTTATACTTTTAACTTATTTTCTTAAACAAAAGTTAATGCTCATTCGTTGGTAGCCATTAAAACTTGCGGATTTGCAACCCAATATAGCCTTTAAACTCAATTTGGTACTTGTTTTTCTTCCCAGGAGGATACATTATATGTGTATATATTTATTTAAGCATGTATACAGTTTAGCATATGTTTATTCAGATTCTTAATTTTACTTTTTTATTATGTTAGAAAATGGTGAGTGACACTTTGCCAAACTGGGAACATGTCTGTATTTTTATGGATATTGTGTGACTCCGATTGCTGTTCAGTTTGGTACTATTAGCTGAACGCCTATAGTTAAATCAAAGGAGGCTGTAAAAGGCTTGTTATGGAACCTAATGGAAAGGCAAAAAATGACAGAGGTCAGCCTCAGGTACACAACTTCAAAGGCATTAAGATAACAGTGGCTGGGCCAACAATTGGTGAGAGAATTGACCTACCTGGCTCCATACAGGCCTAAAATGTTTTTACTCTTCCCAAGTCTAAATTTGGGATTAAAAGGAGAGCTAACCCCTCAATGACCTTATAAAAGAAAGAGGGTGTTTGGCTTGGGGTGAGCTGAGAGGCTGGCCAGGGTGTGGCAGTGAAAAAGCTGACAGACTGAGTCACAGAGGCAGGGAGGAGGCTTCAAGCAATCTAGGCTGTTCAGATCAGATGCTGAATGAGCCAGACCTGTCTGAGCTGCAGATAGAAAGATTAAGTTTAGGTAACTGAATACTCAGATAGGCCTCTTTGTCTATTTTAAATCTATTTCTCCAAGCACTGTGTATCTTTGGGGCAAAATAAGTCATTCTTTGTTCTGAGAAAGTGCTTCTGTGTATCATTGTAAACATGCTGTCAGAGGATCCTAATGAGGGTCCAGAGTTGGACCTATTGAATTAGTCATGCATGATACCCAAGCGGCTGTAATCTAGGTCCTGGTGTGGGAGTGGATGAAGTGTGGAATTCCACCCCAGAAGATGTAAACGTCCAAGTCCTGACACCTGTGTGGGGTGCACTTGGAGAGACCTGAGAAGGTACAGTGGTGCAGCTAGCCCAGTAACTGTGACAGATGTATTTTTTACTTACTATACAATTGTTTTACTCATTATTTCTGTCACGCTGGATGGATATTGGAATTAAGAAGGCACAAAAACAGCATTTTAAAATTGTTTTCAATTACTTAAATAAACCTAATTTAAATGCCAAAGTAAGTATATCAAAACATGTTTTGCATTTAAAATTAACAGATTTATTAAACAAAGAAAGCATTATCTGTAGTTAGTGAACTGAACAAATTGTTTCTAGTCACCGTGTCCTTATTGATTTTAGAACTAGTAGACTTTATCTTCTCATGCTTAGTTTTAGTTAGATTGGAAGAGGAAAATAACTTTCCTGCTTTTAACTCTAATCTGTTTCTTAATTTTGAATGAACTACTCATTAAATTGAGGCAGATAAATAAACTGAAATGAAGAAAATACACTTTCTGCACTTTCTGCAACAGAGACTAATACAGCTAAAAGCTGGTTTAGCACATCAATAAACTCAGGCTCCAGGTGCTTAGCCAGTGACTTCCACGAGTTTGGTGGCCTAACTTTCTTTAAAACTTTGGTAGCAAACATATTGTTTTAATATTTTTTATTTAAATTACATTTATTTTAATAGATGATACTCAGTTTAGGCCTCCACATAAGTTGTCATTATTTCAAATTTAATTCTAAATAGTCTTATAGATACAAAAGTATTTAATTTAAATTTACAAAATCATAGAATCATAGAATATCAGGGTTGGAAGGGACCTCAGGAGGTCATCTAGTCCAACCCCCTGCTCAAAGCAGGACCAATTCCCAACTAAATCATCCCAGCCAGGGCTTTGTCAAGCCGGGCCTTAAAAACCTCCAAGGAAGGAGATTCCACCACCTCCCTAGGTAAAGCATTCCAGTGCTTCACCACACTCCTAGTGAAATAATGTTTCCTAATATCCAACCTAGACCTCTCCCACTGCAACTTGAGACCATTACTCCTTGTTCTGTCATCTGCCACCACTGAGAATAGCCGAGCTCCATCCTCTTTGGAACCCCCCCTCAGGTAGTTGAAAGCAGCTATCAAATCCCCCCTCATTCTTCTCTTCTGGAGACTAAACAATCCCAGTTCCCTCAGACTCTCCTCATAAGTCATGTGCTCCAGATCCCTAATCATTTTTGTTGCCCTCCGCTGGACTCTTTCCAATATTTCCACATCCTTCTTGTAGTGTGGGGCCCAAAACTGGACACAGTACTCCAGATGAGGCCTCACCAATGTCGAATAAAGGGGAATGATCACATTCCTCGATCTGCTGGCAATGCCCCTACTTATACAGCCCAAAATGCTATTAGCCTTCTTGGCAACAAGAGCACACTGTTGACTCATATCCAGCTTCTCGTCCACTGAGACCCCTAGGTCCTTTTCTGCAGAACTGCTACCTAGCCATTCTGTCCCCAGTCTGTAGCAGTGCATAGGATTCTTCCGTCCTAAGTGCAGGACTCTGCACTTGTCCTTGTTGAACCTCATCAGGTTTTTTTTGGCCCAATCCTCTAATTTGTCTAGGTCCCTCTGTATGCTATCCCTACCCTCCAGCGTATCTACCATGCCTCCCAGTTTAGTGTCATCTGCAAACTTGCTGAGAGTGCAGTCCACATCATCCTCCAGATCATTAATAAAGATATTAAACAAAACTGGCCCCAGGACCGACCCTTGGGGCACTCCGCTCGAAACCGGCTGCCAACTAGACATGGAGCCATTGATCACTACCCGTTGAGCCCGACGATCTAGCCAGCTTTCTATCCACCTTACAGTCCATTCATCCAGCCCATACTTCTTTAACTTGGTGAGAAGAATACTGTGGGAGACCGTATCAAAAGCTTTGCAAAAGTCAAGGAATAACACATCCACTGCTTTCCCCTCATCCACAGAGCCAGTTATCTCATCATAGAAGGCAATTAGGTTAGTCAGGCACGACTTCCCCTTGGTGAATCCATGCTGACTGTTCCTGATCACTTTCCTCTCCTCTAAGTGTTTCATAATTGATTCCTTGAGGACTGCTCCATGATTTTTCCAGGGACTGAGGTGAGGCTGACTGGCCCGTAGTTCACCGGATCCTCCTTCTTCCCTTTTTTAAAGATGGGCACTACATTAGCCTTTTTCCAGTCATCCGGGACCTCCCCCAATCGCCACGAGTTTTAAAAGATGATGGCCAATGGCTCCACAATCACATCCGCCAACTCCTTTAGCACCCTCAGATGCAGCGCATCCAGCCCCATGGATTTGTGCTCATCCAGATTTTCTAAATAGTCCCGAACCACTTCTTTCTCCACAGAGGGCTGGTCACCTCCTCCCCATACTGTGCTGCCCAGTGCAGCAGTCTGGGAGCTGACCTTGTTTGTGAAGACAGAGGCAAAAAAAGCATTGAGTAAATTAGCATTTTCCACATCCTCTGTCACTAGGTTGCCTCCCTCATTCAGTAAGGGGCCCACACTTTCGTTGAGTTTCTTCTTGTTGCTAACATACCTGAAGAAACCCTTCTTGTTACTCTTAACATCTCTTGCTAGCTGCAACTCCAAGTGCGATTTGGCCTTCCTGATTTCACTCCTGCATGCCTGAGCGCTATTTTTATACTCCTCCCTGGTCATTTGTCCAATCTTCCACTTCTTGTAAGCTTCTTTTTTGCGTTTAAGGTCAGCAAGGATTTCACTGTTAAGCCAAGCTGGTCGCCTGCCATATTTACTATTCTTTCTACACGTTGGGATGGTTTGTTCCTGCAACCTCAATAAGGATTCTTTAAAATACAGCCAGCTCTCCTGGACCCCTTTGCCCTTCATGTTATTCTCCTAGGGGATCCTGCCCATCTGTTCCCTGAG